AGGGAAAGAAAAAGGAAAAGATATGGCTAATATGACCTTTGGAAATGGTTATTATCATGCAGTAGGTTTGCAAAAAAACAGCTTAGAAAAAAAAATAAGACCAGCATGCAAATGCACACAGATACAGAGAAATGTAATGGATTTATTTCCATCTTAATAACACACACACACACACACACACACACACACACCATTATGGCAACCGTTGAGGCTTTTGTGCCCTAGAGTTCAACCGGCAGTAATGTTCCTTTCAGCTTTCCTTTCTCTAACTTCCATGAAAACCTTCAGGGGGAATGTGCTCTGCTGCAAGTATAATGACTTGCACAGGAAGCAGGAGAAATTTAGACTGGTGATCAACTTTACTCTGTGAGACAGAAACAGCCACAAGGCTTGCTGATATTTTTCATCTTGTCCACAGAGGGAGAAATATCACAGCTGGAGAACAGCTGTGAGTTGGAAAATAATAATATGAAGGAAGAATGATGTTTTCTGTTCTCTCTCAGTCTGTGTCAGTGGTGAATTGACAAAAAAATGCCCTCAGCGATGTCACCACCTCATAAAGAATTTTGCTTGCTGTCTTATGGAGTTAGACAGTACACCAGTAAGAGGAGATGTATGGTTGAGACTGTTCACATGCTGTGTTTTAATGTATAGTCATCACTTTGTCCATGTGGCTGGAATTAAATACGAAACCATACTGAGGAAGTCCTGGTCTGATTGTGCTTGTATAAGGAATTTATATCTACCTCATTTGCCCTGTACCAAAAATAACACTTAATATTACTATGTCTAAAGAGAGCTTTAAATGCCACATTTCTTGTATAATTACAGCTGCTTTAGTGCTACTTTTCTTTTTTAAATGCAGAGGGTTAGGGTCATTCATACCTGGCTGGCGAATAGCGGTGGCACCCACAAAGCTGATGAGTGTCACATCTGAGGCACCGCCAGACTCCAAGGGGATCGGGTGCACCCGGAAGTGCTCCAACATATCGAAGATGGACTGGAACCAAAGGTGCTGCACCCGGCACTGACCGTCCTCATTCAGGGAGAGACGAAGGTGCTGTGGGGAACAAAGCAAAGTCATTCGAGGGCTCAAATGCTAAAAGTCCAACTCAACATTCTAAGCAGGAAGTACTTGTTTCTCATTAAATTTAACCTGAAAACAATATGAAATCTAATGCCTAAAATCTTCTTCTGAGTAACCAAATGCTGAAAGGATGTAAGGTTAATAGAGCCTGCTGCTGCTTTCTTTCTTTAATCCAGTGTTTTTGTAGGGATAATAATTTTATCCAGACCAAGTACAAGTATTTATATTTGAGTTCTCGCCGATACCAAGTACCCATACAAGTGTTTAACAATAATAATGCAGTGTTTCTTCTACAAACATTAAAATCACTATAAAAAAACTGTAGAAACAATTTTTATTTTCATTAGATTTACTGTCTGATAGTGATGAAATAAGATATAATAGAAGGCTGTCCAAATTTAAAATGAGCACTTGTTTTTTTTTCTTGTTCACAACACTTCACCACAATCAGCAAAACAAGCACCATGTGGGTTTAGTACTTGGGTGGACGTGACCGGGCAGTTTGACCGCTGGGAGAGTGAAGACGTTGCATTTCTGCAAGTTTGTTATGGTGTTCAGCTTGTTCAACAAGTGTTTGGTTAATTACTCTCTCCTGGGGGTTTTTCTGGACATATTGAGCACTGACATAACTGTAAAATCCGACCTTGTGACTGTTTGAAATGGGGAGGGAGGAGCGCTCATAGATGCACAGCAGCACAAAGAATCAGAGCTGTCACCTTCACTTTTGTCATCTTCACTTATTTCAAAGTATCCCAGAACCACTAAAATTTCTTCTCTACCACCTGACGACAGGTTCAAACAGTGTGAGATTAATGCAATTAGTTAAGTGGTATCAATGTATAGCATTAGACAACTTTTATGAGTACAAGTACGAGAGGGTGGTATCAAACCCAATACTGTTATCGGTGCATCCCTGTTTTTTTTGACAAATGGAACAAAGCCTAGACACAGAAATGCAATAAATTGAAATTCTGACTGGTAACGTAGCTGGAAACCCTCAGTTGATTACTGTCATTTCCAGACTATAAGCTGCACCCACTAAATTTAAGACGAACAAAACATTTTGTACATAGCGGCAGGTGTCCACATGGTAGCATGAGATATTTTGACAGCCAGATCGATCACCTGTAACTTGAAAGATGCATCATATGCATTTCGTCGTGTGTTTTCCATGTGCATGAAGCAACAAAAGTAGCGGCTTATAGTCCGGATAGTATGGCAATAAATTAGTCATCACAGAAAATGTTTTGAAAAACAGGTTTGTTTTTTGATTTGCTCATTTGTTAAAATATAGATCTAAACATTCTCCAGTTCCAGCTTCTCAAACGGAAAGATTTACTGGTTTTGGCCTGTTTCATGTCATGGTAAATTGAGCTTTTTTTGGACTGTTAGTTGGAAAAGAAGACATTTGAAGGTCTTTTACTCTGGAAACAGTGATGACATCATGATCATTTTTTTGTATGCAGGAAATGCAGCTGTTACATCTAAAAGGCTAAATCCTCTTTCTTAAAGCTTGCGTCTTATTTCCCTGCTTTTGTACAGATTCTGTCTTTACCCAGAAGTAAGCTCAGACTCACCTTGGCCTTGCCCTGGAAGTTAAAGGTGAGGACATATTCTCCGCGCCGTGTCTCACTCTGGCGAACCAGAAAGACACCGTGACTCGCTGCACCTCCAGCCAACACGAGCTGAGCGGCTTTGAGACGGGATAGGGTGCCGTGAAACCACTGACATTCACTGAGAGGGTGTTCCACTGCCTCAGCATATGTCGCCTCAGAGAACAGAAAGGACCCTTGACGGGTGAAGGGTACATATAACGCTTTAATGATCTGCTGTTTAAAATGTGGTACATGCAGCCTTTTCACAGCAAATAACTGTAAGTAGAGAAAAAAGAACAAAGACTATGTGGTGCAGTGTGACCGATAAATCAGCCAGGCCGATATGTCGGCCAATATTAGCTCCGTGCAAATATATCTGTATCAGCGAAAACCTTCATAAACATCAAAAAATTGTAACATACCACTCGGGACCTTATAAAACATGTTTATTTACTCTATGGGTTGTGTAAAGAAAATTATCACCTGTCAAAAATCAGTATCAGAATTCACAAAATTCCTGTATCAATCAGGCTATACTTACAGCATGTAACAGTAGATCAGTTGAACTTACTGATTCATTTATTTATACATGCTATTTTAGGTGTGGTCTGTTCACGGGCTCTCTGTTTATTTCACATGCAAAAGCTGTTTAGCTCTGTATATAATCTAGAAAAAAATTGATTTTGCTTCTTTTGACAACCTGCCTGCTGGAGAGAAAATAAGACTATGAAGACATCTGCATCCAATCATTACTACTCACTGAATTGCAACACTATGAAATAATGGCCAAGTGGATCTACCAAACAAAACAACCCAGTCACAGGTTTAGTTCTGGTTCAGTGTTTACATTTGTTACAGGTTTAAACCAATGTGTGTCTGAGGACAGTATTCACTCACCTGTGGCATCTGGCGTGTCAGCAAAAGGTGTGCCCAGACTAGCCCCGCCTCCCCCAAGAATCCGGCTGTCTGGTTCATCGAGAGGGGCTCGAGGAGGCAACTCTGGTGGGAGAGGTTCCATCAGAGGTGATGAGCTTCCAATACCTCCATAACACACTGAAGGAGGCATAACGTGAGTAATGAAGAAATTAGAAAATCAGTTATAAAGACATTGCAAAGACTTTCCAGGCCTGTTTATGTTACAGGTACAAGCCAAGTTAAATTAACTTTAAACTACAAACCCCACTTCTTGAAAAGTTTGGACATTTTCCAAAATGCAATAAAAATCGAAACCTGTGATTTGTTATTTCGTTTGAACCTTTAACTGACACAAGTACAAAGAAAAGGTTTTTGGTGGTTTCACTGACCAACTTAATTGCATTTTGTAAATATAAACAAATATAGACTTTGATACCTGCAACACACTCAGAGAAAGTTGGGACAGAGGCCTGTTTACCTCTTTGTTACATCACCATTCCTTTTAATTACACTTTAAATGTTTGGGAACTGAGGATACTAATTGTTGCACTTTTGCAAGTGGAACATTGGCCCATTCTTGCTGGATACAAGACTTCAGCTGCTCAACTGTCCATGGTCATCGTTGTCTGATATTCCTCTTCATGATGCACCATGTATTTTCAATAGGAAACAGATCTGGACTGCAGACAGGCCAGTCAAGCACATGCACTGTGTCTACAAAGCCACGCTGTGGTAGCATGTGCAGAATGAAGCCCGGCATTGTCCTACTGAAATATCCAGACTTCCCAGGAAAAGATGTTGTGTTTTATGGCAGCATATGTCTCTCTAAAGTCCCAATACATGCCTCCGCATTGATGGTACTGTGCCTTCACACACATGCAAGTCAGCCAAGATGCAGGCACTGATGCACCCTCATACCATCACACAAACTGGCTTTTGCATCTTTCATTGATATCACTCTGGATGTTGTTCATCTTTGGCACAGAAAACCTGATGTCCATTTTATCTAAAAACAAGCTGAAATGTGGACTCGTCTGACCACAGAACACATTTCCACTGTCTTTCGGTGAGCTGAGATGAGCTTGGGCCCAGAGAACTCAGTGGCCTTTCTGCACAGAATTGATCCATGGGCTCCTCCTTGCATAAATGAGTTTCAGGTTGCATCTCTGGTTGCAGTGGCAGACTGTGTTAAATGACAACAGTTTTCCAAAGTACCCCTGAGCCTGTGTGGCTATATTCATGATGGTAGTATGATGGTTTCTCATGCAGTGCCCCTTGAGGGCTCGAAGGTCATGCACATTGAGCAGTGGTTTTCACGCTCAGTCTTTGCCCATTGAAAAAGACTCCCAGAATGTTTTCATAATATCATGTACTGTAGATAGCAAAAGACAGAGGATGTACTGGAAGTTCAACCTGCCCCAAAAGCCACTGATACAGTTCTACAGAGGAATCATCAAGTCTGTTCTCTGCTCTTCTATATCTGTCTGGTTTAGCTCAACAACCAAACAGACTCCATTGAAAAGTCAGGACTGCAGAAAGAATCATCGGTGCCAGCCTGCCCTCCATGGAGGACCTGTACGCCTCACAGGTCAAAAGGAGGGCAGAAAAGATTTCTGCAGACCCCTCACACCCTGGACAAAAACTGTTTGAGCTCCTCCCCTCTGGATGGCGCTACAGGTCATTGTGCGCCAAAACAACCAGACATGAGGACAGTTTCTTTCCCCTAGGCTGTCACTCTGTACAACGGAACGACAACCCTCAGTGTAGTACCTTGTAACTATACCTTTGAATATATCTGTCTGAAAACTCATCTAAACTGTGTATACACATATTTTATATTTATAAGTACATTATTTTAATGTTTTTCTAATATAATTCCTTTTTCTTGTTTGCACATTCTTTTTCTTTTCTTGTTCTTTCAGTCTTGTTTACTTGTTGCCTTAAGGAAGAGCACTGTAAATACACAGAGAGCCACCTTACCAGAATCAAATACCTCATGTGTTCAACACACCTGGCCAGTAAAGCTGATTCTGATTTAGAAAATGCTATGAAGTTAATCAGTGAAAACACCGTTTGTATTTTTGTCAGTAAAATAAACATTCAAGCAGATTAACAAATCACAGATTTTAGTTTTTATTGCATTTTGGAAAATGTCCCAACTTTTCTATAAATGGGGTTTGGGGGAGTCTCCAAACCAGGTTTCAGAGGAAGCTAAGAGGCCAGAGGACACTCATATGTGATCAATAATAAACAGAAGGTATCAATTATTTAAACAACAGGCTATAGAGACAGAGTGCACTGTATCAAAACCACACCCACTGGGTGTGAACCCCGGGGGCTCTCCACTGACTTTGTATTGACTTAAGGTGTCTTTTTGACAAATTAGTCTTTTGACAAAAAATGAAAAATAGCTAAAAGCTGATGTGTGACAGGATGCACTACCAAGAAGGCAAAGTACCCAAAATTAAAGTTTTAAAAGCTACCAAACAAAAATTGCCAAAACATTTAGAAGACAAAGTGGATATGATGCGTGGCATTAGCAGGATCAAAAGGGAAATAGGGATCCTGATGCTTGCTATATGTCTGTGTGCAGCAAACCTCTTGGTATGTTTGCAAGTACCTTAGCTAACTACAGTAGCTTTCCAAAACATAGCAGAAGGGAAGACTATTTCCAAAATAGAGCCAAATCTAGAGAGAAGTTGGGATGCATTTGATAATAATGATGATGGAACAAGCTAGCTCTTAGAATGTTAGCTGCATATTAGCAAGCTACTGTAGTTAACTAAGACACTGCATAGCTTTCTGATTTAGAACACAAACTCTGACATACTGTCTAAATGCTTTAGCTTAACTTACAAAATGCGTGCTGCTCACAAAGGCATATCAAGTGTCAGGATCCCAGTTTCCCGGTTCTTCTCACTAATCTCTCACTTTCGTCTTCTTAAAGCTTTGTTTTTTTGTTCAGTAGCTTTTAAAACTGTCACTCTGGGTTCTTTACCTTGTTGGTAGTGTATCCTGTCACACAGCAGCTTTTAGGCACTTTTTAGTGTTTTATAAAGAGACACAAATGTCAATACAAAGTCAAAAGAGTGAGATGAATTGTTTCCTCCTGTGCTCTCTCTCTCTCTCTCTCTCTAACTCACAGACCATGTACTGCTGAAGATCTGATCCCAATGTGTGATTTGAAAATAAGAGCAGATCTTTCAAAGTCACAAGTCACACCTTCACAATTTTTATAAAGAATATTATGAATGTAAGAACTCCTGCTTATGTCATTCACTAGGTGGCGCTCTGAATCAAAGTTTGGGGTAAAAACAGCACAGTCCTGCTGTGTTGCAAATATACCTTGTGAAAGACGGTCAACAATCTCAGGTGTCCCACTAATGTCTGATGGCCCCCCACATCCACCTTCAGCATCTTCGTGTTCACTGTTGAAAACAGATGGCAATTATAAGTACATGCCTGTACTTCTATCCTTGTGAGAACACTCACTGATATATAGTGTTTACTAGCCCCTTATCCTAACACTTAACCATCAAAACAAAATGCCTAACCACAACCCTTAAAGTACCCCTAACCATAACCTTAAACCCAAGTGTTAACCCTTACAACAGCCCTTAGAAGATGTGAAGACACAATGTCGATGTCCTCACAATGCTGAAATGTCCCCACAACCATGGTTCTGAACTAAAATATGTTCTCACAAACATATAAAAACATGCAGGAACACACAGACAAGTTAAAAATCCTATAAGGCAACAAAAGGTAGAGTAGCTCTTTTTAAAGCAGCCACAGTTCAAACCGCTATAAGCTGTCACACGTTTTGCCCCAGTGCCCCTTTCATTACCTGAGACAGATGCCATTCCTGATGTCGCTCAGCCAGGCTCTCATCTGTACAGCATCTCGTGTCTCGATCACATACTGCACCGATCCTTCCAGCTTAGGGGAAAGAAAAACAGAAGAAAAGGCTTTAGACTGGACACTAGGCAACTGCTTGAAGATTTGGTTCCTCTCTGATCAAGTCATCAAATAAAGTGTACTCATTGTATGATGTTCCACTGTTACTTGTATTTTCAAGTTATTCCCTGTAGTTTATAACTGCTTTTTGGTGCCTCTGAATGTATATCCTTCATTAAAACATCTTTGTTTTCAGTAGCAGATATCCTGTTAAAACTGTTTTGACCAGGATGATAAACATCAAACATTTACTGGACAGAAACTGCTTTTCAGTATGCTCCATGAGGAGTATATTCACTGATTCATGTATTTTATTTCTCTGTCTGAAGCTTCATATACCCACAGTAAACTGGAGAACTTCATCCATCACTATAGCTACAGTTACTGTCACTTCTGTGAGCGGCTGTGGCTCAGAAGATAGAGAGGGTCATCTTCTAACCAGAGGGTTGGCAGTTCAATTCCCAGCTTCTCCAATCCCAATGTTGAAGATTCCTTGTGCAAGACAATGAAACCCCAAGTTGCTCCAAGTGGGTGTCCACTGAATGTGTGTGTGCTTGAGAGCATGAATGGGTGAATGAACAAATAGTGTGCTTTGACTGTGCTGCAATGCATAGAAAGGCACTATACAAGTATAAATAAGACAGTGACAGTGGGCAATATAAACCTATAATAATAAAAGACATTTAGTGTATTTTTTGGCAAAACAGAAGTTATCCCTATAGCTTCATGAATGATTCTAATGAAGTCTTCACTTCAGAGACTATTTTAGGATTGATAGAGAGCTTTGTCAAATCATCCTTAAATCCAAGTGGGCGTTTGTGCCAAATTTAAAGAAATTCCCTCAAACACCACCACTAATAGTCTTGCCCTCTGGCCCATGTGGAACGTCACTGTCCGGAGAGAAGCTGCAGGAGTGTATCAGCCGAGCAACAGTGCGACAGCGAGAGATTCAGGAACTCATTGACAAAGTCATACATAGCGTGAAGACGGCACATTAAAGACCCTCAGACAAAGCGTTTTATCTAAAAGCTGTATTTTCCACTGTCAATATATATTCTTTTTTTTTTTTATAACAATAAAACTGCTGACAAAGACTGTTTAAAAAATTATTTCTCGGTGTCCACCGACTGGCCATGTCAGTCCCCAGTGCTGAGGCATAAAAAATGTGTGGGATGGTGTCATGTGTCTGTGTGGAAGTTGCAGGTGTGGAATACCTCTGAAAAAGCCATCAGTGAAGAAAGCAAGACATGAAGACTCAGATGAAGGAGTGATTACCTGCAGCAGAAAGGTGTTCTCCTTGTCAGGGACCTCCAGAGCAGTGGTGCTCCTCACATCCACAACTGAACAGCAAGGGACAGTCAGCCGAGGCTTTGATGACTGGGGAGACAAACCATGAAAAATCAGTAGCTGTTTTGTAAAAGTGGCAGTGTTTTGCTTAATTCTGTGTAGAGTGGATGTGCAGAATGTATATAGTATTCTAGTTTTTTACATTTCTCTACTCTGATTTATATTTCTCTACTCTGAGCTCTGGTTTTGTACTTCTGCTGACAATTTTATGTGAGGATTCACTTAAACTTATTTTGTTATGCTGAAATGGTTTTAAAGCAGCCAACAGCCAATTGTAAAAACCGTACATATGCTTTAAAGTTTCACAGGAAAAGAAACACTTACTTTTGGTGGAATGAAGAATTCCAGGTAGTACTCCTCTCCCTGCTCACCACCTTCTCTGTCCCTCTCTCTGAGTACCAGACGACATTTATGCCAGCGTCCTCCTCTCCAGGGCATATTCCCTCCACTGACCAGTGGCTGCACTGGACCTGCCTGAACTGAAGCAGATGAGGCTGACACAGCATTGTTGTTGTCTGTACCATGATGCAGTAGACCAAACGAGAAACCAGAAAAGCCGTAGCTTCCACTTAACTCGTCGCTAGATGAGCTAATGCTCACGCCACCCTCTCGCACCAACCGGCCCACCTTTCTCTGATGTCCCATTACAGCTGCGCTGCTGGGAGGCAACATGGAGGAGGCAGAATGACAGCCGGCAACAGTTGGGGTGAGTACAGGAGGAGGGGATCGTGAGAGTCTGAGTTTCTCCAGACGATGGCTCCACTTCTCCTTCTCGCTTCCTTCACCGTTGCTCCGCCGCCGATCTCGAGCGGCGTCCGACAGAGACAAAGAGGCGGCGCTGCTTGAGGATGACGGCGGCAGAGAGGAGGAGGAAGAGTGAGGGAGAGAGAGCGGCATGGAGAGAGAGACGGGCATGGAGGAGGTGGGTGTAGGAGGCTGTGTACCAGAGTTCCTCTTGGAGGCTGAAACCATGCTAGCATCTTGCACACCCATTGTGTAGCTGTAGCTGGAGGGCAGCTGGGTCTGGGCTGAGTCACTGGAGGAGCTTCGCCAGTGCAGGATACCTCGGACACTCCCCCGAACACTACGACCCACACTCCGCAGCGAAAAGCGTTTCTTCAGTTTGTTTTTTGAGGAGTTGGACATACTGTTACCTTTGGAGGTGGGTGGAGGAGTGACAGAGGAGGAGGAAGGTGGAATCTGAGAAGTGTGGGAGGGGTCAGCACTGTCCACCTCTGTGGATTCTGCATCCCGCTCATCTGGTTCAACATCTTCCCCCACAGATGCCACTCCGGGCCAGATGTCCTCCTCTTCCTCAACTGGTGCTTCTCCATTTCCAGGGGCAATGATGGCCCCTCTCTCTTCACGCCTCCCATTGTTCCCTCCCACTGAAGAACAACATGACGATGATGAAGATGGAGGGAGGACTTGCCCATGGGCATAAGAATCTTGAAACCTGTCTGTGGTGCGGTTCTCCAACACTAGCCGTGTTGGTGCAGGCTTTGATAAGGCCCGTGTTGTGTTAGTCGAGGGACATGAAAGGACTGCTCCCCCAGTTGCTGACAAGGGTGATACCGCTTCCTCTTCCAGGGAAGTAGCATCTGACTGAGGAGCCCACATCACCATTTCATCCCTCCCAGAAGCACAGCTTGGCGGCAGCGCCCCCTCCAGCTCACTCTGAAAGTGACGAACAAACCGGTCAGTGAAGCGGCGGCAGAAGGCTGCTGCTGAATCTGGGGAGTAGTGGGGGTTTTCCAAGAGGAAAGCCCGAAAGTGGCGTGCAAAGTCACTGGCTGCAACACGGGCATGGAGTTCACAGAATTCGGTCCAGCTCAGGCAAGGGGATGGGGATGGTGTGGGCGTGTCTGAGAGGGAAGATGGGTGTGCCTGGGGTGGAGGGCTCACCAAAGGTGGGAGAGGGGGTGGTCGGGGGGACAGTGGCAGCAAAGAGGGAGATGGAGGGGAGGGAGATGGGGAAGGAGAGGGAGGTAAAGGAGAGGAGTTTGTCACCCGTGGGCTGGGCGGGGTTAAAAGAGAGCCGTTCATCCTCCTGATAGGCCAGGGGAGCTGACTGACTTTATGATCTGTCAAATCACTTCAAACACTCAACAGAAACCTGAAGTGATTGCACAGCTGAGGTAACTGACTGGAGGACAACACGACACATTGGTCAAATAATTTACAAATGAGTGTGAACTGACGTGTTGCACTTGTACTCATCTAAAACAAAAAGTTTAAAAGACAATCCACCAGGCCCAGGCAACTGGGGTTTAAAAAGAGGTCAAATATCTCCAAGGCTAAGCCTTTTGCTACATTATTTTGTGAAATTAAATATGTTATCGCTTCAATAAGAAAATATTGGTTTCAGAGAGATGAGGTTTGAAGGGTGGAATTCACAAGGTCTGCCCCTTCTTCACCGCCAGCAATATATCCAGAGAAGTGTGGCCACATTCTGCAAAACAATCAAACAAACAAACAAAAAAAACAGACACAAACTGTTAACTTCACATGCACACCACCAAAAAATATCACTTTGTAGGACTGCACAGGGACAGTCTTATTACTTATCAAAAAGCCATAAAAGAAGCTAAAGCTCAATATTTATCCAATATCATCTCTAACAATAGCCACTATCTTAGTTCTTTTTAGCACCATAAATTCTGTTATTAATCCTGCCACCACTGTGTTCCATGAGGTGTCTGTGCATACCTGCAATGTGTTTCAACAGTACGTCATTGATAAAGTTCTGTCTATCGGGCAAAGTATTTCCACACCCTCAAATGTGGCTCCAACTGGGTCTCCTGTACAGCTTTCTTTGGAAAGCTTTACACCAGTTTCCTTGTTGCAACTCCAAAAAATCAGTGCAATCAGTGCAACAGCTAAATTCCACCTATTGTCCTCTGGATACTTCCTTGCTAGGCTAATGAAGGAGGTCATTGACACTATTGGGCCTTGCTTGGTCACATTTATTAACAGCTGCCTCGGGCTGGGTATTGTCCCCTCTGCCCTCAAGCATGCTGTAGTCAGGCCACTTCTAAAAAGCCTAACCTTGATCGCATACTTCCTTCAAATTGTCGTCCAATCTCACATTTGCCTTTTTTATCCAAGGTGATGGAGAAAATTGTCCTCACACAATTACAGTCTCATCTTTAACTTTATACTGTTGTCAATAAATTTCAATCAGGCTTTAGATCCCGGCACAGCACTGAATCCGCGTTACTGAAGGTCAAGGCCATTAATGGTCTTGCGCCAGTCTATTTGACTGATCTTTTAACCATTTATACCCCGGTTAGAGTGCTGCGTTCCACTGAGCCTGTGTCCCTGGTTGTCCTGCAGGCAAGATGTAAAACATGTTGTAAGGACTGCTTGAACACAACAGTGAGCGAGTCACAAAAATAGACGGACCCAGGTGGCTGACTTCGGTGCAGACAGTGTAGTATATTTACAGTGCTGTACAAGTGACAAGAAATGAACAGAGGAACAATGGAACCGGGTGTCGAGCATAGGAGTGTACACAGTCAATGATGGAGATGATGAGAAGAAGACCGGGCTGCGGACATTGGGACTCACTCCTGGACTGGTCGGGTTAGGTGCAACTGCAGATAAACATAAATAGTACATACAGTGAGTGGTAGACTGTGCATCAACCTGCGGGGTGGTGAAGAGCAGAGTGGAGGAGGTCCGAAGGAGCGGCTGATGCAAAAAAAAAAAAAAAAAGGAATGTAATCTAAGCAATTTTTATCTCAAGCCGACCTAGAAAAGGCCATTCATGCCTTCATTAGCTCACGACTTGACTCATGCAATGCCCTCTATACTGGAATTAGTCACTCCATAGACTCCAACTCGTATAAAACGCGGCTACATACCTACTGTCAAACACTCCAAAAAATGCTCACATCACCCCGGTCCTTCAGTCCCTTCACTGGCTTCCGGTACAGTTTAGAATAGATGTTAAAATTTTATTGTTTGTGTTCAAGGCCATTAATGGTCTTGCGCCAGTCTATTTGAGCGATCTTTTAACAATTTATACCCTGGATAGAGCGCTGCGTTTCTCAGAGCATGTGTCCCTGGTTGTCCCGCGGGCAAGATATAAAAAGTGGGGAGATCGTTCTTTCGCCATGTATGCCCCCAAGCTCTTGAATGCCCTGCCCCCTGAGGTTCGATCTATAACGGAGCTAATGGTTTTTAAGTCTAAATTAAAGGCACATTTATTCAGATGGGCTTTTGACATTTAATATTTAGCAGCAATGCTATACAGGGCCTACAGGCCTTCCTTATTTTGTATTTCGTAATCTTACTCTCTCTGTATTTGGACTCATTTTTATTTTACAGGAATTTTATAGTTCTTATATATCATTTTAAATTTGTGCAATGTTAACTTTTCTTTTGTTTGTTTATGTATTTTTGGCATGCTCTGTTTGTTTTATTGTGAAGCACTCTGAGCTCCTGAATAAGCTCTCAAATATTGCCTGATTGAAAATTATCAAAAATTTTTATTCACACCATGAACTCTGAAAGGACGTAAAAATGCAACCATTGTTGTAACATACTGCAAAGATTGTCTACATGTGCATTCCATGCTAGTGAGTTGTCAGTAAAGACAACAAAGTGTTTATATTATGGAACCTCTGAGATGGCTTGGTTGTGGATGATCACAGGCCTGTGATCACCAACTCCTAAAGTCTAAAATACCATCGCCTCTGCTTTACATACATTCAGAACAAGGTGGCTTGTGTGTAAAATCTTAATCTGTAAAATAACTCCTGCCGTCATATAAATGTAATGGTGTAAAATGTGCAATATTTCCCTCTGAAATTTAGTGCAGTGGAAGTATAACAAAGCACCACCTCAACCTGTTGCAATATTAAAGGCTGCACTGTCATTATTGATTAATTTACTCTTTATTTATTTAATTACAAATTTGGTCAGAAATTGAAAAAAAAAACACAGATTCACAAAGCCAAAGTTCACATCTTCAAAACTCATTCCATTGACATATGACAAAGAAAAGCTGCAAATTGTGATGGTAATACTTTGGCACATTTACTTAAGTAACACTTTGAATATAGAACTTTTACTCGTAAAAGAGCAAGTCTGCATGATGCATAAGTAGTATTAATAATGGTAGTGGAAAGTAACTAAATACATTTACTCGAGTACTGTACAATTTTGAGATGATTACTTGCATAGGACTTGAGCATTTTCATTCCATGTTGTATTTAGTAAAATAAAAATATACAGTTTAATGTATTATTAAATTAGTTCATAATCTTAAAAACAGCGGTGTCTACTTGGGGCTCTTCACATTTCAGGAGTTAATGAGGTTTAATGTTTTGTTTGTGAGTGTTGTTTGGGCCTGAGCAAAATGCTGCTGAAACACTGGTGGATCAGAATATACAAATATCCTATTATATCAGACGCAAGGGTCAATTTTCTGCAGAACAAACACTATCTTTTAAAGGCTTAGGTAAATTTAGCTTCTAATGTATCTGTATTATTACTGTAAAACTAGTCTAATTACTGAATTGCAGTATTTACCTGTAACAGCGTCCTGCAGTGTGATATTAGTACTTTTACTTTAATAACATATCTGAGTACTACTACTCGCACTAATATTAACTTCCTACCACTGCATAACGTTGATTTAAGTAATATTTTACAGTATGTTTTCTTGTAGTGGTGAATTAAATTTTACAGTAACGTTATGAAAACAGTACTCATAATAATCTCAGTACTTAATGTTACACCTCCCGGGAGATTAATCGCTGCTACCTATAAGTGGTGTATCTTAAATCAGCGTTAAGTAGGATAAACGTTTGATAAAATCGCATCACTAGTTAGCCATGCTAACATGAAACAGCAGTGTGCGAGTCTTGCTCATTCAGCTGTCTTTAAAGACGTGTAACGTTAGCTAGCTAACAATAGCTATCTAAGGTCCACTACGTATCAACCTGCCATTCACTGGCATTATTATTTAGCAGTGTTGGTTAGATGTGTCTTGTTTTGTGTCTACTGTAACCTTTCACTGAAATGATCACACACTGAAACATCGGAGAGTGGCTGTCGCCAAATATTCTTTACGGGCTAAGCTAACCGTTAGCTACTTAGCTACCTATTAATAAACCACCGAGCTAGCTAGCTATCAATATTGTTCAGCGCAATGTACTGTGTCTTCAGTACCTGTATATCACAGTCCCGTGTTATATCCGTGTCTCTGGGTGAAACTGTCACATATTTCACCATTCTTCTAGTCTACACAACGGAACAATAATTTTCGTAAAGGTTGTTGTTGTTGTTAAATATGAATATTGCAATGCCTAGCCTTCAGGCCCGTTCTTCTCGCGTTGTCCTCGTCCTCGCGATATCTCATAGGTCGGAGAGCGCAGTTCCTTGACAGCTGCCGTATAAAACCGCTAGATTTTTTTTTTTTTAAGACAGACACCTTGGTCAGACAACATGAAAACAAACGGGAGGAAAAAGTTGTCCGACTCCTTCCTCTCAAACTTTCACCCAACCCTTCGCACAAAACAGACTAATCCCATGTTTGTCCACCAAAGACCGAGACCCCACTCCACCTTAAAGAGATCTCACTTCAGTCAACACCTACCTTTTATTTCCATTAGCTACTATAAGGGCAGTTTTCACTTAATTATTTTCAGTTCTCCAGACGAATCATCAAGTCTGTTCTCTGCACTTCCATCACTGTCTGGTTTGGTTCAGCAACCAAACAGGACAGGAACAGATTCCAGTGGACAGTCAGGACTGCAGAAAGAATCATCAATGCCAGCCTGCCCTCCATGGAGGACCTGTACACCTCATGGGTCAAGAGGAGAGCAGAGATTTTTGCAGACACCTCACATCCTATCTCACAAATTGTTTGAACCCCCCGGATGCAACAACAGCAACAGCCAGACACAAGGACAGTTTTTTCCCCCCATGTCATCACTGATGAACTCTTAATCCATGACTGTATGACTGGGCACAGCAATAAATTCTAAATATAGCAATTGTATATATCAGTCTGAAAGCTCTTCAGCCATAATATACATATGGTCATGGCCAAAAGTTGCTACGAGTACAGCTCAATTTATGAAAAGTTGTTTTTGTGGTTCTGGGAGAGTAGTCACAGAACTACTTTGCATTGCATTTTGGGAACTGTAGGATCCAGTGTTTTAGTTAAGTCAGTATCAGGGACTAAAAGAAGAAGAAGAAGAAGAAGAAAAGAAACCAAAATCTGATTTCATTTTCATTTTATTGCAATGTCCAGCAAAACAAAGATGAAAAATATATTGACATTTTGAGGTATTTAGAAACTTACACATCACATAATATATTCAGTGTAAAAACAACCGAGATATTAAATTACAACATATTTTAATCACCACAAGAATCCTAATACAAAAAGGAAAACATATTTACATACACAGAAGATGTGTAAATACTGTAAACTTCTGTGCCACATATAAAAAGTGAAAAAAATGTGAAATGTCCCAGTTATGTTTCAAACTGTCCCAGTGATCACAGAGTCCCTGTCAGGGGCCACTTCAATCTACCTCCTCAATAGTAGGCCCCTCAGCTCCAGCTCGTGCCTGTTGTCCACAGGTGCTACCAGTGGGCATTCCCCCCTGATACAACTTGCTGATGATGGGGTTACACACGTTCTCCAGCTCTTTCAGCTTGTGTTGGTACTCCTCTTTCTCAGCAAGCTGGTTGTTCTCCAGCCACATGATGGCCTCATCACACTTCTCAATCACCTTCTTCCTGTCCTCCTCACTCATTTTGTCCCTCAACTTCTCATCCTGCACACTGCTTTTGACGTTGAAGGCATAGGACTCCAGTGAGTTCTTGGCAGCGATTTTCTCCCTCTGAATGTCGTCCTCAGCTTTATATTTGTCAGCGTCCTGCACCATCCTCTCGATCTCCTCTTTGCTCAGTCGGCCCTTGTCGTTGGTGATGGTGATCTTGTTCTCTTTGCCAGTGCTTTTGTCCACCGCAGACACGTTCAAAATGCCGTTGGCATCAATGTCGAAGGTGACCTCGATCTGTGGGACCCCTCGTGGAGCAGGTGGGATTCCTGCCAGCTCAAACTTGCCCAGCAGGTTGTTGTCCTTTGTCATGGCTCTTTCCCCTTCATAGACCTGGATGAGGACCCCAGGCTGGTTGTCAGAGTAGGTGGTGAAGACCTGGGTTTGTTTAGTGGGAATGGTGGTGTTGCGTTTAATCAGGGACGTCATGACTCCTCCAGCTGTCTCAATACCCAAGGACAGAGGCGCCACATCCAGCAGCAGCAGGTCCTGAACGTTCCCTGAGGTGTCACCTGTGAGAATGGCGGCCTGGACGGCAGCGCCGTAAGCCACCGCCTCATCTGGGTTGATGCTTTTGTTCAGCTCTCTGCCATTGAAGAAATCCTGCAGGAGTTTCTGGATTTTGGGGATTCTGGTGGAGCCTCCCACCAGGACGACGTCGTGGATCTGTGCCTTGTCCATTTTGGCGTCCCTCAGGGCTTTCTCCACCGGCTCTAGTGTTCCCCTGAACAGGTCGGAGCACAGTTCCTCAAAGCGAGCCCTGGTGATGGAGGTGTAGAAGTCGATGCCTTCATACAGAGAATCAATCTCAATACTGGCCTGAGAGCTGGAGGACAGGGTCCTCTTGGCCCTCTCACAGGCTGTGCGCAGCCTCCTCAAGGCTCTCTTGTTCTGGCTGATGTCCTTCTTGTGCTTTCTCTTGAACTCCTCCACAAAGTGGTTGACCATGCGGTTGTCAAAGTCCTCTCCACCCAGGTGAGTGTCCCCAGCTGTGGATTTCACCTCAAAGATGCCGTCTTCAATTGTCAGGATGGACACGTCGAAGGTGCCTCCGCCCAGGTCAAAGATCAGGACGTTGCGCTCTCCTGTCTTGCCTTTGTCCAGACCGTAAGCGATGGCAGCCGCCGTCGGCTCGTTGATGATTCTCAGGACATTCAATCCCGCGATGACGCCTGCGTCTTTAGTCGCCTGTCGCTGGGAGTCGTTGAAGTACGCTCGAACTGTGATGACTGCGTTGATGACTGCATTGGACACCTTGTGGCCGAGGTAAGCCTCAGCAATCTCCTTCATCTTCACCAGGACCATGGAGGAAATCTCCTCAGGGTAGAAGGCTTTGTTCTCCCCTTTGTATTCCACCTGAATTTTGGGCTTCCCTCCATCTGACAACACCTTGAAGGGCCAGTGCTTCATGTCAGCCTGCACCACTGGATCATCAAACTTCCTTCCAATCAGTCTCTTGGCATCAAACACAGTGTTGCTGGGGTTCAAAGCCACCTGGTTCTTGGCTGCGTCCCCAATGAGCCTCTCGGTGTCAGTGAAGGCCACATAGCTGGGGGTGGTCCTGTTGCCCTGGTCGTTGGCAATGATTTCTACTTTCCCATGCTGGAAAACCCCCACGCAGGAGTAGGTGGTGCCCAGGTCAATGCCGATCGCTACACCTTTAGCTGCAGACATTTTCACTGGAGATGGTCACCTGTCAAATAGTTAAACCACATCTTACAAACACATTGAAGGAAGTAAACATCAGCACATTACTGCAACGGTAGATGGACTCACAGCACACATTGTGTCATGTCATTTCCAGCTGCAGAAGAAGAGTGTTTATTTAACTAAAGGTAGCAATACCACAGTGTAAAACTACTCTGTTACAAGTACTGCATATAATCTGAATTACTGCTGGGTAACTTCTATATTTCC